TTGAGAGTCTTCTGTCCCAAGTGCAGGACTCTGTACTTGTCCTTGTTGAACCTCATCAGATTTCTTGTGGCCCAATCCTTCAATTTGTCTAAGTCACTCTGGACCCTATCTCTGCCCTCTGGTGTATGTACCTCTCCCTCTAGCTTACTATCATCCGCAAACTTACTGAGGGTGCAATCCATCCCCTCATCCAGGTCATTAATAAAGATATTGAACAAAACCGGTCCTAGAACCGAACCTTGGGGCACTCCACTAGAAATCGACCGCCTTCCCGACATCGAACCGTTGATCACTACCCGCTGGGCCTGGCCTTCTAGCCAGCTTTCTATTCTTCTTACCATCCATTTATCCAATTCACATTCCCTTAACTTGTTGGCAAGAATATTGTGGGAGACCATATCAAAAGCCTTGCTAAAGTCAAGGTCTATCACATCCACTGACTTTCCCACATCCACAGAGCCAGTTACCTCATCATAGAAGCTAATCAGATTGCTCAGTGTTAGCCGACGGTCAGGGCTGTGTGTGTGTGTGTGTGTGTGTGTGTGTTTTCGAGAAAAGGTTTAACGTCCGTGTTTTTACTGCTAGGACCGGGGTCCCATCACAGAGGGTGGCCAGCAGGCCAACAGACGCCCCGTTATATAGGAAGAGCTTATTACACCTTAGATTTTAGCTGCTAGAACACAGGGGTTCCTTCGCAGAGGGCAGCCTAGGAAAGGCTGAAAAGGTGCCCCAACGGATCTTGTCACCTGGGAGTGACACAGATCCAAACGCCCAAGCTCTCCCTATGTCTGTCCCTTTATGACCGGCTGAAGTTCTTTTAAATTGTGCTTGGTTCTATTACAGCAACTGAAGGAGTCAGGTTAAAGCTTAAACAGTTACAGGTTTATTAAAGAAGCTTATAAATCATATGGTTACAATGGCTATTGCTATATTTCTTAAATGCTAGCAAATATATATATATATATATATAGGTCTTAAAAATGATTACAGGAAAAAGGTAAAGATAGAAAATAGAAATAATGGTACCAAGTGACAGCTTAATCTTTAAAGAGCTCTAACACTATGTATATATATACTTAAACAAAGGACCACATCCAGGTACAATTTTTACCCTCTTCTGTGCCTCGACTCCAGCGTGTCAGGCCAGGGTCGGTCCCTCAATTCCTTGGAAAGACGAATACGAGGTGGGCGTCCCCTCTGGAACCTCAGGAGGTCAAACACCAAACCCGACCAGCAGATAGGTGGTAGATTGACACACAAAGTAAGTGTGCTGCTAAACTCATCTTTATACCCCTGGTGGCCCGTATTCTCTTTCTTATTTTAAGATGCCGAATTATACTGGTCTGTTTGTGGCGCCAGTTTTTACAAGGGAGTTTCAAAATAATTTACACTTGTAAGAGAGGAAGATAACTAAATTAGGAGTGCCGGATGTTCTTTGCTGGGCGGGAGATTCCTCCCCCCGCGGACGGCTGTGTGTTCGTATCAATATGGGTTAAGTCAAGGGCACTATGTGCAGCCTCTTGGTCAGCAATTAGTTTGACCACCCTCTTATCTTTGCTTACAGTTGTCCATGGTTACTGAGCCAGCATATTTGTACCTCCTGCTCCAAGGTTTTTAAAGATTATGCTGGGTTTTTTTGCTCTGTGTGTCCTGCATGCTTTTAAGCAAACAAAAATAAATGTTAAATAAGAAGGTTCATGTCTGGCTACAGTCAGGCATGAAGTGTCTCAAAATGGATTCCTTTAGGATCCCTTCCATGATTTTTCCAGGAACCGAGGTAAGACTGACCGGCCTATAGTTCCCTGGATCGTCCTTCTTCCCTTTTTTGAAGATGGGCACTACATTTGCCTTTTTCCAATCATCCGGGATTTCGCCCGATCTCCACGACTTTTCAAAGATAATGGCCAAAGGCTCCTCAATGACATTTGCCAACTCCTTCAGTACCCTTGGGTGCATTAAGTCTGGACCCATGGATTTGTGTACGTTTAGTTTTTCTAAATAGTTCCTAACCTGTTCTTTACCCACCAAGGGCTGTCCATCTTCTTCCCATCTTGCGTCGCTTAGCACAGAAGTCCAGGAGCCGACCTTGTCCGTGAATACAGAGGCAAAGAAAGCATTGAGTACTTCAGGTTTCCCCACATCCTCTGTCACTAGGTTACCTCCTTCATCCATTAGGGACTGCACACCCTCTCTGATCACCTTCTTCTTGTTAACATGCCTGTAGAAACCTTTCTTGTTATCCTTCACATCCTTAGCCAGTCGCAATTTCATCTGCACTTTTGCCTTCCTGATAACCCCCTGACATTCTGGAGCTATACATTTAAACCCCTCCCTGGTCATTTGTCCAAGTTTCCACTCTTTGTAAGCTTCCTTTTTGTGCTTAAGTTCACCAAGTATTACCCCCGGTCTCCTACCATGTTTGCCGCTCTTGCTACGCATCGGGATGGTTTCTTTCTGTGCCTTCAATAAGGCTTCTTTAAAATACTGCCAGCTGTCCTGGACCCCTTTCCCCTTCATGTTAACATCCCAGGGGATTCTTTCCATCAGATCTCTGAGGGAGTCAAAATCTGCTTTTTTGAAGTCCAAGATGTGTATTTTACTACTCTCTTTTCTTCCTTTCGTCGGGATCCTGAAATCTGCCATATCATGATCACTGCTTCCCAGGTCGTCACCCACCTCCACTTCCCCTATTAGTTCCTCCCTGTTTGTGAGCAGAAGGTCAAGCTGTGGTAGCAGCAACTTGTGCACCAGCCGTGACTTCTCCAGTCGCTTTAGTACAGGGAGTTCTGCCCCCAGTGGCTGTGACATGCTGTAAATTGAGCTGGATTTCTCCACACAAAGTACCGTTTATTTACCACTGAGGGAATCAAGTGTGACATACCAGAGAACATGCCACAGCACTTACAGATCTGTCTCTGCAAAACTTTAGTAGCACAGAAATTTGGACTCATTATTCGTAAGAACATGAGACCATCCAAACAGCCAGACTGGGCAAGACCAAAGATCCATCTAGCCCAGTGTCTTGTTTGTTGGCAGTCACCAATGGCAGGTGTCTCAGAGGGAGGGATCACAACAGGGAATCCTCACGTGATTCCTCCCTGTCACCCACCTCCAGAAAAACAGGCTAGGGACACCATCCCTCCCCATCCTGGCTAATAGCCATTGATGGGCCTAACCTCTATGAATCTATCTAGCTCTTTTTTCAACCCTGTTAAAGTTCTAGCCCTCACTTCATGCTCTGGCAAGGAGTTCCACAGGTTGACTGTGGAGTGAAGGAAAACTTCCTTTTGTTTGTTTTAAACTTGCTACCCATTAATCATTTGGTGACCCCTAGTTCTTATATAGTGGGAATAAATAAATAACTTTTCCTTATTCACTTTTTCCAAACCAGTAATGATTTTATAGACCTCTATCTGACCCCCCCTTAGTCTCATCTTTTCTAAGCTGAAAAGTCCAAGTCTTTTAAATCTCTTTTCATATGGGACCCATTCCAAACCCCTCATCATTTTTGTTGCCCTTTTCTGAACCTTTTCCAATGCCAATATATCTTTTTTGAGATGTGGTGACCACATCTGTATGCAGTATTCAAGATATGGGGTACCATGGTTTTATATAGAGGCAATAAAATATTCTCTGTCTTATTCTCTATCCCTTTTTTAATGACTTCTAACATTCTTTTTGCTTTTTTCAACTGCTGCTGCACACTGAGTGGATATTTTCAGAGAACGCTCCACAATGACTCCAAGATCTCTCTCTTCAGTAAATTGTAGCCAAATTAGTCCCCATCATATTGTATGTATAGTTGAGGTTTTTTTTCCAATGTGCGTTTATTTACATTTATCAATGTTAAATTTCATTTGCTATTTTGTTGCCCAATCACTTAGCTTGGTGAGATCTTTTTGAAGCTCTTCACAGTCCGCTTTGGTCTGAACTGTCTTGAGCAGTTTGGTATAATCTGCAAATGTTGCCATCTCACAACATTTCTCTTGATCATTCATTTGTACATAAGGGCTGCGTCTAGACTGGTAAGTTTTTCTGCAAAAGCAGGTGCATTGCGGAGAAACTTGCCAGCTGTCTACACTGGCTGCTTGAATTTCCGCAAGAACACTGACTCCCTACTGTCTGAAATCAGTGCTTCTTGCAGAAATGCTATGCTGCTCCCTTTCAGGCAAAAGCTCTCTTGCGCAAATGCTTTTGTGCAAGAGAGCCAGTGTAGATAACGCGGTATTGTTTTGTGCAAAAAAGCCCCAATCGCGAAAATGGTGATCGGGGCTTTCTTGCGCAAAACCGCATCTAGATTGGTACGGATGCTTTTCCGTAAAAAGTGCTTTTGTGGAAAAGTGTCCGTGCCAATCTAGACACTCTTTTCTGCAAATGCTTTTAACGGAAAAACTTTTAAAAAACGTTAAAAGCATTTGCAGAAAATCATGCCAGTCTAGACGTAGCCCCAAGTTGAAAAGTTTTGGTCCTACGACAGACCCTTGGGGGACCTCACTGTTTGTCTTTAGGAAACATTGCCATAACTTTCTCTGCCAAAACCACTTTCCATCATAGCAAGAACAATTGAGTATCGATCTGTCTATCTATCTATCTATCATCATTATAACACACATATATATGGTTCTATGTGTCCTTACACATAAATAACACAATAATAACCCATCAGCATTCAAATATTCATTTGAGCAAGAACCAAGCTACTAGATACCTGGACAAACTGTTTTACAATGCGTCATTAATGAAGAAAGCAAAACTTGAGGGCCCTTAGAAAAACCCATTCCAAAAATTGTGATGTTGACCTCTTGAATAGATGACAAAATAAACAGACATCACATTTAATCAAGTGTACTCCACCTTCTCAAGCTCCAAACCCCAAAGCCAAGTGGATCAAAAGAAGAAGTCAACCCTAAATCAACAAAGCAGCTAGCTGTATTAAAAGACAGAAATTCCAGATGCATTCTTGCATTAGTTTAGTAACAAAAAATGATTTATTATCCAGACTCAGTTTGACTTTTGGTAACATTGCCATAGCTTTCTCTTCCAAAGGCTCTTTGCATCAAAGCATTTATTTGTGTAAATAAATAACATTACAAATAAATAATCTATATAAATATGAATGGTTCAAAGTGCTCTAACGCATTGCAAATAACACAATAAAATCCTGTCAGCCTTAAAATATAATTTGAGCAATACTTCACCTAACCAGACACTTTCAGCAATAAGGACAGCAAAACTTGAGGTCCCTTAGAAAATCGCCTTAAAGAAATTATGACACTGATCCATTGAATGGGTGACAGAATGAATGGACCTCCAGTTTAATCCAGAACACTCCACTCTCCCAAACGCCCACCCCCTTAGCTAACTGGAACGAAAGAAAAAGTCAACCAAAGTGAAAGAAAGTTAAGGGGGAAAAAAACTAATAAAGAAGCAAAAACTCTCATATCCCATCCACAAATTTGATCCCATAAAAGTAGAAGCACCAAAAGCCTCATGAAGTACATTTGACTTACTACTGGCTCATGATATTCTATGCAACATGCTCAGATAGCGCAGTTACAGCAACAGTAGAAATCCTGAAGGCCAACAGATAGGTGTTTATGTAGCTCTATGGACAGATATTTAGATTCTGATGTCATACACACTGGGGTCACCCAAAACTAATTCATTTCACTCCAGTGCAGCTAGTGCAGAGTTTATAGCTTCCTAATCCCATTGCACATCATGGTGGGAAATAGACCATTTTGCCAGCTGGTGATAACAGCTACACTCCGTCTCAGAATGCGATCAGAGCCGAGGAGCACTGATGGATATTTTAATTCTTGGGGAATAACCTCCACCCCAGCAGTTTCTTCAGGGCAGCTTTGATCTCTTTGTTCCTCATGCTGTAGATGACCGGATTCATCATGGGGGGTACCACGGCATAGAGCACACCCACCGCCAGATCCAGAGCGGATGCAGAGCTAGAGGAGGGTTGCAGGTGGCTGAAGGTGCCAGTGCAAACAAACAAGGAGAACACAGCGAGGTGGGGGAGGCAGGTGGAGAAGGCTTTGTGCCGGCCCTGCTCCGAGGGGATTCTCAGCACCGCTCTGAAGATCTGCACATAAGACACAATGATAAAAACAAAGCAGCTTAAGGCTAAAAATGCCCCCAGAGCAATAGCCACACCTTCACTGTGGTAGGAGTCAGAGCAGGCCAGCTGGAGGAGCTGGGGGATATCACAGAAGAACTGGTTGATGATATTGGACTGGCAGAAGGGTAAACTGAAGGTGCTCCCGGTGTGCAGGGCAGAGTAGGCAATACCAGTGATCCAGGCGCAGGCAGCCATGTGGACACAGGCTCTCCTGTTCATCACTCGCTCGTAGTGCAGGGGCTGGCAGATGGCGACGTATCGGTCATAGGCCATGATGGTGAGTAAGGCAATTTCAGTTGCACCAAAGATGAAAAAGAGAAAGACTTGAGCAACACACCCAGCATAGGAAATCACCCTGGTGTCCATGAGGGAGTTGGCCATGGATTTGGGGACAATGACAGAGATGAAACCGAGGTCCAGGACTGACAGATTTGCCAGCAAGAAGTACATGGAGGTGTGAAGACGGTGGTCGAGGGCTACGGCTGAAATGATGAGAAGGTTCCCCACCAGGGCTGCCAGGTAAAGCACCAGAAACACCACAAAGTGCAGAATCTGCAGCTCCCGCACGTCAGCGAACCCCCGGAGCAGGAACTCTGTCACGGTGGTTTGGTTGGGCATGTCCTTCCTCAGCGTGTCATGTGGTGGCTGCGGAGGGAAGGAGAGACCAGGGTGCAATTCAGGAATGGCCTTGATTCCTCTCAGGACTGATCAAGATATAGGTGATGACACCTCTCGTTGCCCTTCCCCAGGGGTTCTTCCGCTCACCTGCTCTGTGATCTTGGGCTGCTTATTTGCCCTCCCTGTGCCTTTTTCCACTCTACCATTTCTCTGCCTTCTCTGCCAGGATGGTGAGCTCTAGGGGGCACAGGCTGTATCTGATTTCTATGCTCACAGAATTTGTGTTTAGCTGGCAGGAAAGCAGAAGAAAGCACACGGAGGTGATGTTGAATATCTGGGTTCTAATTCCATTCTCTGTCCTCAGTCAGGGATAAGAGAGACAAACCTTGGGGAGGAACTTCTATACCCACAGCACTAGGATGTTTAATGCCTGGGCTGCTTACTCAGCTTTACCATTTGGCAAATATCCCTCTGAAATAGAAATAAACACACTGCAATAGTGTGGCTGGGCTTGTATTTTAATACCTTGGATGATATCAGTGTTCCCACCCTCGTTTAATTCTCAGTTTCCCATGTGGCTATTGAAACATTTTCTCTTTCATTTACGGGTTGAACCTCTCTAGTTCAGGACTCTCAGGACCTGACCGGCACCAAACCAGAGAATTTGACAAACTAGGGAAGGGCAATACTGTCTACCAGCATTACCAGCACTTCCACTGCTTGCTAGGCTCTTAGAAGACATTTGGGGTAAATTAGAGCTAAATAACGGCACAGAACACTGAGAGCCAGGACTGGTTGCTGTAAACAAACTTTATGGGACTGTATGAAATTTGGCCACACCCTTGATAAGAGGACATCTGGCTGACGGAAATCATGCTGGACCATGGATGTTGCTGAACCTGAGAGTGACACCACAGAGATTCAACCTGTATTTCAAAAGAAAACACTTTTCCCCTGAAATAATTGAAACATCAAATGTTTGAATATTAAATACTTGGTGTTAAATGGAATACATTTTCCAGGGAAGTCTCCACTATTCTTGAAAACATGACCTATTGTTTAGAAAATTCAGAAGTTATTTCTATTTCAGTGAAAATATTTCAGTTTTCAGCTATTAACTTCAAATTCTCTGGTTCTCAATGAACAAAAAGAATAAAACACAGTTTGCGTTTTCACAATTTCTATGAAAATTCAACTGTTCTCTCCTGGAGAAAAGATCCTGAAAGATTCCAGTTGTAACTCTCAGTTGTAATATTAAATTTGCCTAGTACATTAACACCTACACATGTTTAACTCCAATAACACACTTACTGTGCCGGTGCCATTTCCAGCTGCTGGTGCAGGTGGCAATTCCCCACCAGGATTCTTCCATCAGTGCCTGTCTGGGTGAATAATGCCCCCAACACTCTGTTCCCAGCAGCTATTTCCTGCCCCTCCACCAGATCCCCTGAGGTGCTGGGTCTCTGCAGTTCCCAGCAGCCAGAAACTCGCTCCACAGATGGGTGCTCACTGCTCCCCTCCTCAGGCAGGCTGGGCGGAGACGTGAACCACTCCCAACACTGAAACTGTTAGATCTTCTTGCTGTTAAGACAATATTTAAAATAAAAGTCACCAGGTCCTGATGAAATGCATCCCAGGATACTCAAGGAGCTGATAGAGGAGGTATCTGAGCCTTTAGCTATGATCTTTGAAAAATCATGGCAGACAGGGGAGATTCCAGAAGACTGGAAAAGGGCAAATATTGTGCCCATCTATAAAAAGGGGAATAAGAACAACCCAGGAAATTATAGACCGGTCAGTTTAACGTCTGTCCCAGGGAAGATAATGGAGCAGGTAATTAAGGAAATCATATGCAAACACTTGGAAGGTAATAAAGTGATAGGGAATAGCCAGCATGGGTTTGTGAAGAACAAGTCATGCCAAACTAATCTGATAGCTTTCTTTGATAGGATAACGAGCCTTGTGGATAAGGGAGAAGCGGTGGATGTCATATACCTAGACTTTAGTAAGGCATTTGATACGGTCTCGCATGATATTCTTATTGATAAACTAGGCAAATATAACTTAGATAGGGCCACGATAAGGTGGGTGCATAATTGGCTGGATAACCGTAGTCAGAGAGTTGTTGTTAACGGTTCTAAATCCTGCTGGAAAGGGATAACAAGTGGAGTTCCTCAAGGGTCTGTTTTGGGACCCGTACTGTTCAATATCTTCATCAATGATGTAGATATTGGGATAGAGAGTACGCTTATTAAGTTTGCAGATGATACCAAACTGGGTGGGGTTGCAACTTCTTTGGAGGATAGGGACATAATTCAAAATGACCTTAGCAAGTTAGAGAAATGGTCAGAGGTAAACAGGATGAGGTTTAATAAGGAGAAATGCAGAGTGCTCCACTTAGGAAGGAACAATCAGTTCCATACATACAAGATGGGAAGCGACTGTCTAGGAAGGAGCATGGCGGAAAGGGATCTAGGGGTCATAGTGGACCACAAGTTGAATATGAGTCAACAGTGTGATGCTGTTGCCAAAAAAGCAAATATGATTCTAGGTTGTATCAACAGGTGTGTTGTAAGCAAAACTCGTGAAGTCATTCTGCCGCTCTATTCTGCACTAGTTAGGCCTCAGCTGGAGTACTGTGTCCAGTTCTGGGTGCCACATTTCAAGAAAGATGTGGAGAAATTGGAAAGGGTACAGAGAAGAGTGACAAGAATGATTAAAGGTCTAGAGAAGCCTATGAAGCCAGGCTTCATGAACTGGGCTTGTTTAGTTTGGAAAAAAGAAGATTAAGGGGGGACATGATAGTGGTTTTCAAATATCTAAAAGGGTGTCACAAGGAGGAAGGTGAAAATTTGTTCCTCTTGGTTTCTGAGGACAGGACAAGGAGTAATGGGCTTAAAGTGCAGCAGGGGAGGTTTAGATTGGACATTAGGAAAAAATTCCTAACTGTCAGGGTGGTCAAATATTGGAATAAATTGCCAAGGGAGGTGGTGGAATCTCCCTCTTTGGAGATATTTAAGAACAGGTTAGATAGACATCTGTCAGGGATGGTGTAGACGGAGCTTGATCCTGCCTTGAGGGTGGGGGGCTGGACTCGATGACGTCTCGAGGTCCCTTCCAGTCCTATGATTCTATGATTCTATGATAGATAGATAGATAGATAGATAGATAGATAGATAGATAGATAGATAGATAGATAGATAGATAGATAGGGTGTATAGTGATAGATAGATAGGGTGTATAGTGATAGATAGATAGGGTGTATAGTGATAGATAGATAGGGTGTATAGTGATAGATAGATAGGGTGTATAGTGATAGATAGATAGGGTGTATAGTGATAGATAGATAGGGTGTATAGTGATAGATAGATAGGGTGTATAGTGATAGATAGATAGGGTGTATAGTGATAGATAGATAGGGTGTATAGTGATAGATAGATAGGGTGTATAGTGATAGATAGATAGGGTGTATAGTGATAGATAGATAGGGTGTATAGTGATAGATAGATAGGGTGTATAGTGATAGATAGATAGGGTGTATAGTGATAGATAGATAGGGTGTATAGTGATAGATAGATAGGGTGTATAGTGATAGATAGATAGGGTGTATAGTGATAGATAGATAGGGTGTATAGTGATAGATAGATAGGGTGTATAGTGATAGATAGATAGGGTGTATAGTGATAGATAGATAGGGTGTATAGTGATAGATAGAGGGAAGAGGAGTATGGGGATAGGGTTAGGGTTTAAGGATAGGGTTAGGATTCAGGTTAGGGTTTGGGTTAGGAGTTAGGTTAGGGTTTAGGGTTAGGGTTAGAGTTATAGGTTGGGTTAGGGTTAGGGTTGTGTTAAGGGTAGGGTAGAGTTAGGGCTATGGGCTGTGTTAGGGTTAGGTTTGGTTTAGGGCTAGGTTTAGATTAGGGTTATGGTGGGTGGTTAAAGGTTAAGGTTACTATTATGGCTTGGGTTAGGGTTAGGATTAAGGTAAGGGTTACAGGTTGTGTTAGGATTACGGTCAGAGTTAGGGTTAGGATTTAGGGACTGGGGGCTGACATGGAGGACCTGGGGAGGTTGGGTGCAGTGGGGCTCTGGATACAGGAGGCTGGCACTGGGGGGGTGTGTTGTTGAGGGGTCTCTAAGCTTTAAGGTTCGGCCTCCCTTAGGGCCCTTAATATCTTCTCTAAGTGGTATCATTTTTGGTGATACAATAATATCATCAATGTATGCCACTGCATACTCATCGTGGGGTGCCAAGACTTGATTCATCAGCCACTGAAATGTGGCAGCGGCTCCATGTAGTCCGAAAGGCATCATCGTGAATTGGTAGAGCCCAAAAGGGGTTGGAAATCCTGTTTTGGCTTTCGCCATCGGTGTCAACGGGATCTGCCAATAGCCTTTTGTGAGATCCAGTGTCGAGATATATCTGGCCCTCCCCAGACGTTCCAGTAGCACATCTACCCGGGGCATGGGGTAGGCATCGAACTGGGAGATGGCGTTCACCTTGCGGAAGTCGACGCAAAACCTCACTGACCATTGGGCTTGGGGACCAGCACGATGGGGCTCCTCCACTCGCTTCGGGATTCTTCCACCACCCCTAGAGCCAACATTTCCTTTAGTTCTTGGTGCACGGTGTCCCACATTTTCCTGGGTAGGGGTCGATGATTGTCCCGTACTTTCTGCCCTGGCGTTGTGGCGATGTGATGACTAATTAACGGGGTCCTTCCTGGTTTATCTGACAACACATGCGGGAACCGCGCTATGAGTTCTTGCAGCTGTTGCTGTTGTCCCTTCTCCAGGTCTTGCCCGATGTCCACCTGGGGGCGCTCCGTCGAGGCTCCCACTTGCGGTCCCAACTCGTCCTCCGGGGGAAATGGGGTGATCAGCATTGCCTCCCTCTCTTTCCAGGCCTTCAGGAGGTTCACATGGTACACTCGTAAGTCTTTCCGCCGCCCTGGTAACCTCACCTCATAGTCGACCGGCCCCATCTTCCGCACGACTTCAAACGGTCCTTGCCACTTCGCTAGCAACTTGGACTCGGAAGAGGGCAACAAGAGCAACACCTGGTCCCTGGGTTGAAAAGTCCGCACCTTTGCCTTCTGGTTGTAGTGACACGCCTGTGTTTCCTGCGCTGTCCGCAGGTTCTCCTGTGCTAGCCGGCCTAATTCTTCTAGCCGCTCTCGCAATTGTAAAATATAATGGATGGACCCCCGGGCGCGTCTTTCTTGTCCCTCCCAAGTCTCTCTCACTAGGTCCAGAATCCCGTGGATGCGTGGGGAACCTCCCTTACGGCGAAGAGAAGAGCTGGAAGCCACCTGTCCCGCTGCCGCGGGTCGTCTTCGACGAATTTGCACAGCATCGACTTCAGCGTCCTGTTGAACCGTTCCACCAGTCCATCCGTCTGGGGGTGGTACACAGAGGTTCTCAAGGATTGGATGTTCAGTAGGCAACACAGTTTTGTTATCAGTTTGGACGTTACGTTAGTTCCCTGGTCTGTTAGGATCGTCTTAGGGAGGCCCACCTTGGCAAACACTTTTAAAAGTTCATCAGCAATGGCATGGGCGGTCGTGATCCTTAGGGGAATTGCCTCTGGGTATCGAGTGGTGTAGTCCACGATGACCAAAATGTATTTGTTCTTGTCGGTGCTTCACTCCAGC